TGTCGCCACCTCCGCAACTCCGCAACTCTTACTTCCGCAAAGCGGACTTCTTGTCTCCCAGGCCGACGGACAGCTGGTCTACTACCCCGCGGGTGTTCGGCCGGCCGCTGGCCTCATCTCCGACACCGCCCCCGTCACTAACGCCATTGTCTCGAGTCAGCGCGCGCTCTCTTCCACCAACAACTCCAACTCCTCCTTCTCCTCCTCCTCCTCCTCCTCTTCCTCTTCCTCTTCCTCTTCCTCTTCCTCCTCTTCATCCTCCTCCTCCTCATTATCCTCCTGCTCTTCTTCTGTCGGCCCCGCCTACGGTCTCTCAGGCAGCGATTCCGGTCTCGGCTCCACAGCCTCCTCTCCACGGCCCTCTGCAGCTGTGGTTGCCATGGCGGCAGCTTGTGCTGCTGCCGTCTACACCGGAGGCCGGGGGAGCGGTGTGGAGGCCGGCTGGGCTCCCGGCCTACTGGGCTCTGGCTCGAGTGGGCAAAAGGTGTCACCGGCCGACCTGATGATCGCTTCGCCGGCCGGCCTGTTGACCTGTAGCCAAGGCAACGGCTTTGCGATCACGGCCGGTGTGAGTCGAGTGGAGTCGAGTGATACGTCGCCCTGTCTGGCGCATCAGCTGCACCCTCAGACCGGCTTTTCCAGTCCCGCCGGGTTCATGGCCGGCGGGTGTCTTGTCGAGGATGTGTGTCGCCTCGATCGATCGATTGCAGCGCCTAAAATGCGTCTGGTCGAATTGATGGCCTACATGGACCGATGCCTGTTGCCGGGTGGTGACGAGGATAGGACAACCGGGAAGCCGTCGGCCTCGGAGAACGGAGTGAGTACTCGCCAGGCAGGCCTGGTCCGAAGAGCTCCCTTACAGGCTGCTTTGTCTTCTTCCTCCACCACATCCTCATTCGCTCCATATTCACTTTCTCTCCTTTTTCACTTTTCTTCATCATCCTCTGCTGCTTTTGCTTTTTATTCTCCTTCTCCTTCTCCTTCTCCTTTTTCTTCTTCCTCTTCTTTATTTTCTCCTTCTTCTTCTTTCTCTTTCTTTTCTTCTCCTTCTTCTTTTTCTTCTTCTTTTTTTTCTTTTCTTCTGTCTCTTCTCATTTTTCTTTTTATTCTACTCT